CAATGGTTCGATAATTAATGATTGAACCACGTTAGAAAGATGGGTGTTCATCTTGGCGGGCATAGTTCTTGCCGCAACCTTTTTGACAGTAATGAAGATTTTTGTTGGAGAAAATTGTTTTAGAGAGGTTCTCTATGTTGATACACAGATTTGATGGAGGAGATTATGTAGAGGAGAAGCAAGCTGTTGAAGATTATGTGAAGAAGGTGGACAAATTTATTTTGTCAGAAATTCAAGCCAAGGGGGAGATTTGTTGGGTCTTATTTACCCTGAATTTTTTACCATAAATAGGTTTTCCTTTTTAGGAAAAGGTTTTGGATTGGCTAGTCCTTTTCTTGTAGGAAAAGGTTTAGGACTCTATAAATAGAGTTTTGTTCCTTCTAACTTAATCAGCATTCACAATGTAGTCTTAAGGGCTTTGAGAGTTTAGGTTAGGGGGAGAATTTGTGGGTCGCAAGCTTGATACGTTATCACTTGTGTGAACCTCCCATGTATTCCGAGTGAATTGGTTGAGGCTGTTTCTCTCTATATTTTGTACTCTCATGTTTATATAGTGGATTGCTCATCTCCTTTGTGGACGTAGGTCGATTGACTGAACCACGTTAAATCTTTGTGTCTTTTGGTATATTTCTCGTTTGTCTTCTTACTCGTGGTCTTTCGAGGTTTGCTTTGCTAGCTTCCGCATTACACCTGCTTATTTCGGTCATAATAGGTCCAGCCCCATCCGGCCTAAACCTTGTTGTCCAGGGAACAGGAATTTGAAGGGCTAGTACGGGTCCGCCCTTCATTTGAAAGGGCATGAAAATGCTTAATCCAACCCTAGAAGGACCGAGAGCTGGGGCGGGCTTGCCCTTTTTTTTTCTTTTCAAACTGATAATTCTATAACATTAAGAAAATGAGAAGATTTTCAAATCAAATACGGCAAACAATGGTGTTGTTTTAATAACACTAGCAAAAACTCTAATGTAATTAGCATGTATCTCGCATACCAGATACACGAGCGAGATAAAAGAGTGACAAGCAAGATGGGAGGGAGGCGAGGGCGCTAGATTTGTCTATGTATCCTGTATACGTGCGAATCTACTGGGATAGAGTGTATCTAGAACAGATTAACCTAATTTTGAGTCCATATATTTCGAGATACATGTATTTGGACGTACCAAAATCTGGTAAAATTCATAATATTACAACATAGCGTGTATTTAAGTAATTAGATTATATACTAGTGAGATTATTGTAAGTTACCCTTAAATAAAAAGTTTTGGCCCATGGGCCGACCCCGGCCCAACCCCGATCAAGCCTCAAGGGCCAAGGGCTTATGTGGACCAGGCTTATAAGCCCTAGTTTTAAATGGGCTTGAAAAATCCTATCCCAACCCTACTCTAATAACTAGTGGGGTTGGGTCGGTCTCATGGACTAAACCCGTTTTGACGGCTCTAATTGTATTGATAAATAATTTATCAATTCCTTAGCAATGCTTTCCTCTTTATCTAAGTCTCATTTTCTTTTTTTGTTTTACAACTTAAAAGAAATGTTTCTTCTCGTAAATTTATGATATCTTTAATCATCTAATTAAATAAGACTAATGTGAAGAAATCCTATGGTAAGTCAAGCTCTAATAGTTTGTTGAAAATAAGAAATTGAACAATAAGTTCGAATAGTATAGGAAACTAAGACCTTATTTTATTTTACTGGATTACTAAATTTTCCTTCATAAAATATATCACGTAGGATGTAAATTGTCACAATAGTATACGCAAAATGACGAAAGAGATATTGTAGCTATGGTATTAAGTTACTTAACTAACTAGGAGGAAAAATACTACAAATTTCTCATGGTGAAGAGTTGAAAAAGGACCTCATTTCACTCCAATTAAAGAGAATTATTATATCCACATTTTTTTAGGGTTCAAATAATTAAGTTCCATCAATTTCACCTCCTATGAAGTGGATCTCCCAAACACGTGTCATGTTTTTTTGTGTACTAGTAAAATTCAATTAAGTATTTCCAATAGAAAAAAGTCAGTGAGTAGTTTATTCGTTTGTTTAATCTCAATGACCAAGAAGGTTTTTGTTAGATATAAGTAGGAGAAATAGGATCCTTGAAATATTTTTCTTAGCCATTTCTCATTGAGAAAAAGTTTTTATTATTGAGATTGAGTTTCAAGAATTTTTTTATTAAAAAAATAAAAATAAAAAGGAAATGGCATTCACAGGGACATTGGATAAATGCAAAGCTTGTGATAAGACAGTTTACTTTGTTGATTTGTTATCTGCTGATGGAGCTACTTTTCATAAGTCATGCTTCAAATGTAGCCATTGCAAAGGCACTCTTGTGGTATATATATGTTTTTATTACTCAACTTCGTTTTAATCTGTTTATCTGATTCTGACTTTATGTACATAGAGTTATGTAAAGAAGATTTTTGAATCATGTGGTTGTCAACATGTGAAGGAGAAAGTAAGACAGATAAAGATAAATTGAAATGGAGAGAGTAATAAGTTACAACTATGATTACCTTTTTCTTCTACTACTCTTTTTCTTTTGCTCTACTTTGATAAAAGATGATCTTATTTTTCCATCTCTAGCTTTCTTGTCCTTTAATTTTCTTTTGTTTTTACATGAGCTAATTTACTCCGATAAATAAACATAATTAAATAAATAAAAATGTGTTTTCGTGATCATAAATATTTCCATATGCATGATAATACACAGATCATGTCCTCGGTTCAAATCTCACTGTCACTTATATCATTCTCAGGGACGGAGTTAGTAGCCTGCATGCGGATTTGGCCGAACCTGTGTTAATAAATTTATTAAATATGTACAAATATTAAACCTAGAATCAAGTTATTATCACTTAAAATCATCATCATAAAATTCAAAACTCGTAGAGTTGAAATCCTAGCTTCGCATTTGTGCTCATTGTGATGTTTTTGTCATGTAGATGAGCAACTACTCCTCTATGGATGGAGTCCTCTATTGCAAGCCACATTTCGAACAACTTTTTAAGGAATCTGGAAATTTTAGCAAAAACTTTCAGACTTCTTGTAAGACATCTTGCCTTTTCTCATACTTAGTTTATTATTACCAAAATGTCTCACGTTGAGGATAAAGCGTTATCTAAACTCAAACCCGAGATCTATGAATCTCTGATTAAGAATGAGGGAGTACCTACCATTCCACCACAACCTTACGTAATTTATTTAATTAATTATATTATATAATTGTTATTATTTTTAACCTTATTTTTTTTATAATTTATGCAGCCAAGTCTGAGAAGGAAAGTTCTCTGGTACGTTATTGGACACACACACATTTCTCTGTTTTTTTTTTTTTAATATTAATTTTATCAAATAATGAAAAATAATTGATCATATAGATATATATAATCAATGTTAAACTGTTTGGAACTAAAATATAAGATATACTTTCAGTAATTAGTTTTAATTTATGTCGCACCATTTGACTTGAAACAAAGTTAAAAAATAAATTGAAATGTTATAATCTAAAACAAATCTTGATATTTGTCTGATCGTAAATCATTTCATTAAAGATAAAAATAGAATTTAAAAGTTCAATTCTTTCTAATTATAGAAATGTGAATTATTCTTTTAATGAACTCAAAAAAAAAATGTGTTACATAAATTGAGTCAAATAGTAGTATTATTTACTTCAATCCTCCAAATGGTTAAATGCCTTAATATTTTGTGTAGGCAAAGGCTCCAAGCAAAGTCTCTGCAATGTTCTCTGGAACCCAAGACAAATGTGCTGCTTGCAGCAAAACTGTTTACCCTCTTGAAAAGGTATGAATTTTTTTTCGAAAAATGATTTTTATCGTACTAAACAGAACTTATCTATATGTTAATCTTTTTTTTCTCATAATATAATGATGATTCAGGGGTGAAGTCAGGCAAGGTTATCCGTAGAAAATGAATTATACTATTTATTCATGATTTAACTTAATTTATTTTTTTATGTATATACAATTGATATATTGGACCCCTTTGACTTGTTCATGTGTTTACTTTTCATCTTGAACACTCTTAGTAAAAATCGTGACTCCGCCGCTATTATAATTGAAATCATGTAGGTAACATTAATCATGTTAATTTTTGAAAAATGACTCTTATTCTACCAACTACTTTATCAACATGATTAATGTTTTTTTGTCTCATAATATAATGATGATTCAGGGGCGAAGCCAGGTAAGGTCAGATGAACCCCTTCGACAGAAAATTAATTACATTGTTTATTTGTTGTAGTTGTTGAATCCTCTTGACTTGTTCATGCGTTTACTTTTCATTATCTAAAAACTCTTGGTGAAAATCATGATTTCGTCACTGCAATGATTGATATATAGGTAATATTGGAGGGAGAAGCATTTCACAAATCATGCTTCAAGTGTGCTCATGGAGGTTGTGCCTTAACTCATGCAACATATGCTGCACTTGATGGAGTTCTTTATTGCAAGCACCATTTTGCTCAACTTTTCATGGAGAAAGGAAGTTACCAACATGTCCTCAAGGCTACTACTAACAAGAAGAGTGCTGTAACACCTGTTGATGATGATGATAATAATAACGACGACGACAAGCCTGCTAAGGATGATAACAAGGCAAATGATCATGACAAGGCAGATGAGAAGGAACCTAATGATGATAAGGAGCAATCTTGATCAACCCCTAATTATGCACTTAAATTTATTGATTAATTGTTTGTGTTTTCTGAAAATTTTGAAAAGGGTTTTTGCATTTGAAATCCAAGTATATTCATGTGATTAAAAGTCTTGTTATACTTTTGATGACAAAAACTTGATTTTCCCCCCTTTTAGACTTGGTGTCTAGTTTGTAAACATGTTTGAGAGTTTAACTATTTTTGATTATACAATGATTTGTTAGATAATATTCCTATGTGTCATTGTCCAAATCAACAAGTCAAGGCCAAAGACGAGGCAGGTTACATATAGTAGATGTTGAATCCCTTTACAACCCAATACTTTCATAACAATATACACCTTAAAGAGATTGCTATAGATATGTAGGTTTCTTCATATGTTATGTCATGCTCAAATAAAGAGATTGTCTCTCAAGTACATAGGTGGATCCTGGTTGAAATTTCAAGAGTTTTAGACGATGCAGCAGTTATACTCGATAGTCGATACATACAAGATAGAGGAGGAGGGAGGAAAAGAGGTCGTAGAACTAACCAAATATCCGAATCTATAATAGTGCACACATCAAGCAATTCTAATCCCTAAAATAGAGAGTAAAATTGAACTTTGGGAACTTCATTCAGATTTAACATATGAAGATCGGAAGGACTCTTTGGTTCGTCCATAATAGATAGCCTTCCCGCTGGTGTATGTTATGAAGTTCCAGCCAAATGCTGAACCTCCAACGACATATGTACCCGTCCCTTGGACCCCATCATCTTCAGCTTCCTGTTTCTCAGATGAATCGCCTTCAGGCTTCACAGAGGCCTCACTTTCGGGAGGAGGTTTCGTGTCTTTCTGTTGCTCACTAGGCTTTTCTTCATCCATGATATCCACTGAAGAAATCTGGGCTCCGGGTGCATCCTTAGCCACCTCTGGGTTTACTGTTTCTTCCATCACCTCCTTGTAAAGATCTATCAGGAGATTCAACTCTGCACATTTACATGCACATAATAAGGATCCATGTCTGATATAACATGCTGATTGTCATGTTGAAAATCTTGATCATAGTTCGACAACAAAAAATTAAAAGAGGCAACATGCATGGTTACAATAACAACAGATTACCATATCCGCGGGCAATTGGATTGCTATAGCTAAAAATAACTTAACTAAGCGAGAAATCCTGACCATGCAAAGTAGTACACTGAGTATGTTATTGTGCCGATCATGCTAATGAAATTTAAACATTGTTCAAGTATGATACATCCACGTGCCAGCGAAAGTGGATCACACTAATACAAGTTCTTACATAGATTACCGGTTCAGTTTATTTTGCAAACCTAAAAATCCAAGCATTTCCTATATGAATAGCTGAAAGCTGCTGCTATGTAAATTATTGTACAAGGCATAAGCTCCGGAGAAAGAAATGGCTTGTAAGGTAGATGTTTAACCACCTGCAACCAACTAGGTCATACTAAAACTATTTTTTTTCCAACCCGATTGTAACCTAGAAGAGAATGCCACAAACAGCCGTGCATTTCTTACCAACTTCAGAACTTTCACATGATGCATCATATTGGTATCAGCAAAACAGGGACACGAGAACGTGCTAGCATGTCAATAATCTCATGACTAGTGTGGCTTATGATTGCTAATAGCTTGGTGATGTATTTATTTCACGACAACTTTTGAAATGAAAAGATTGTAAAGAATAAATCTGATGGGAAACTTACGCTGACGAATTTCAGTAGCAGCCTTGCAATTGCGGAAGTCAGGAGTACGGAGAACCTTCAAGATGACAAATAAAAGTAAGACCCTAAAACATCCAATTCTTATAAGAAAGTAGCATTCATGAAGGCAAAGAGAGCACACAGATTTTGGCCACGGATTGCCCCATACAACATTCTTCCCAGTGTCATTTGGTGCTAATGGATAAGACCCCTCAGATGTTTGATTATCATTTACATTGCATGAGGTCTCGTATTTTTAAAATGAATCTTGACAACTTCAAAACATTAACAAAAATAATATATGAGAAAATAAATACAACAACAAACCCAGTATAATCCCACAAGTGGGGTCTTGGGAGGGTAGTGTTAGTGTGTACGCAGACCTTACCCCTACCTTGAGAAGGATATGAGAAAATAAATACATAACAAATTAAACTTGACATCATATTCATTTTTACACATAACAATCCCCTTATTCTGGTTAAATATAGCGCATCAAATTAGCAATTTGAAACCATTATCCTCGGTGCATTTGTCACACATGCATTGGCTATGAGGTAGAATTATGGCTTTTAAACTCTCTTTTATTATTGGAGGTGTTCGGGAAAGACAAAGAGTGCTTTTAAGCAATTACTTTTAGACTAAAAAGTACAAAAATAAGCTAAAAGCCAAAAGTTGGATGTGACCAACTTATGGCTTTTAGCTTATAAGCTACTTTTAAAAAGTTAATCTAAACACCCTCTTAGTCCTGGGTACAGATAGTTATTCTCTCTGCCAGTCATCAATGATAGAGTTATTTACTTAAGAGGGTCAGAGTTAAGTTTGACAAGATATCAAAAAGAAACCATTTTCAGAGAAATGGTTTTGACTGGATTTATAGACCAGAATATCTGACCAGTCAACTGTTTCCACTAACAAAAAACCAACTAGCATATCAAGTTCAGGTTTAAGCTTGGACCTGGCTGACAAAAAACCGACTGGATTTATAAGCAGCCTTCTTGGCTTCCACTTTTCCTTGGACTTCCCCATTGGGTCTAAGCTTTCTACTTAAATGCATATATATCCACTAAATCAGGAAGGCCGCCTAGACGACAACAAGGTTGACCCAATCACAGTGGTGAACCAACCATATACTCTCTAAGGTGTCTTTTCTTATGTTTTTTACAATTATTCTAGAAAGTTATTATGATGTGGGCATGTCCCATGATTACTCTATAGATGTTACCATGATAGTGTTGTATGTATTAGTTCAGACTTAGTATCGTTTGGGGTTGTACACGCTTATGCTTCACAAAGTTATTTTTAGACTTAAATTATTCCTCTGCTTTAAGTTCCTTCAGTTATTATTTTTCCTGCTTAAACTGATTAGATAATTTTATTTTATTTTTAGAAGGAAACTGATTAGATAGTAGGTATACTCAATTTGGGGTAATTAGGTATCAATTACTTAGCCTAAGAGATTTTGGGTCGAGACAATTACACCCTAAGAGGTAGCATGGCAGAGAATCTAAAAGAGTGTGAAACGCTAACCCATGTTAAAAACTAAATTATACAGGTGTCATCTTACAAATGGACATTATATTAATTACACTAGTTTGAACTTAATCATTTCTTCTCTTACTCTTTCTCCTCCACTTGTTTCCTTCTTTTCAGATCTCTCCATCTTTGTCTTCATTTCCTCACATCTTGCCATCTCACATTTGCTCAAATTATGTCAACTTTTCCAGTCTCATTGAAAGAACAATCAACAATAGCTTCCTTGTCTATGAATCTCTATTCTGCAGAACTAAAGAAAACTATTTCCAAGCTTTCAGAGTAACACAAAAGAGGAGTCCGGAGTTTAAAGGTGATTTCTGGGTCTTTGCTCTGAAAGAGTCCATGAGAGTTTTGTTGGTGCGTCTCTAGTGAGCTTTTCTTAGGGAGGAAAATTTTGTTGCTGGGTTAGGATGACTGTAGTACGACTTTCATGGTTGACGATGTATATGGGTGGAACTGTACTAGAATTCTTGGTGAAAGAATTTTCTTCTTAGCAATGGTTGAGATAGGATGGAACTTAAATTTCATCAGATAAAAATGCTCCTGGTCACATTTTACGAGGCATTGATAGCTATAGAAAGTTTAGACTTAGCGGTCCACTTCAGCCTAGAGTGGACCACTTATATTATTCCGGAAGAAAGAAAAGGTATAAAGCTCATTTTATTAAGACAAGGCCACAATTACATGAGTGGTATTCAAAAGGGCCGGACCAATATCTCTATCAGTAAACCTCCACTTTATCCACAAAAATGAAGGGCCCAGCTGGAACTTTTTCTACGGATCCATCAACGGCGACTTGCCTACCTCTTATCAAAACGGATCACAATGGTTCTATGGTGGATAAAGACGATGGAGATGATGAAGCAGAGTACATGCAATTCCTGTCACTTTTAACTCTCCCTTCTTAGTACCTACAATCTTACTTTCCCAATTTCAGGGTTCTGATTTTTCCCCTTCATTTGGCAGTGATACTTTGCGTTTAACCTGGGATTGTTATAATCACGATATACACCAGGCAATTCATACTCCAGCCGTAATTAAGACATCGTGTTGGTCGGGAATAATTGAGAAGTTTGAAAAAAGACTAGCAACATGGCAAATGCAGTATCTTTCTTTTGGAGGAAGAGTTACATTGATTAATAGTGTAATGGACAGCATCCCTACATATCATATGTCCCTCTTTCCTATTCCCGCAAAAGTTCTCGAAAAGCTCGATAGAATGAGAAGGAGTTTTCTATGGGAAGGCAACAACAAGGATCATAAGTTTCACTTGGTAAAATGGGCAAAAGTGACACAACCTAAATCTCAAGGGGGTTTGGGTATCAAAGATCTTGCAGCTCACAATAAAAGCATGATGATGAAATGGTTATGGAGGTACGGAACTGAAGACATTGGATTGTGGAAAGAGGTGATCAAAGCTAAACATGGTGAGCTTACTCACTGGTCCACAAATGTCTCAGCAGATGCATATGGAGTTGGTCTATGGAAAAGCATCAGTAAACTTTGGCCAGATTTTGCTGGGAACGTCACATTTAGAGTTGGCAATGGATCTCACATCAAATTTTGGAAGGATATATGGTTGGGAGACACAACTTCGGGTGAGGAATTTCCAAGTTTGCACCTCATTGCAGCGGAACCAAATTCTACCATAGCATCCAACAGATCAAACGACATTTGGGACCTAAGGTTCGGGAGAAACCTAAATGACTGGGAACTTAATGACATATTTGCCCTCTTTACCAAATTGCAACCTTGCTCCTTTTCACCCCAAGAGCCTGATAGATTGAAATGGGGTAACTCAAGAAAAGGTCACTACACAGTCAAGGAAGGGTATCACAGCTTATGCTCAAGGAACTCAATGATTGGCAAATGGCCATGGAAGCATATATGGAAGAGAAAATTACCTACCAAAGTGATCTGTTTCTGTTGGACTGCACTGCATAACTCATGCCTCACACAGGATAATCTCTCCAAAAGGAAACTCCAGCTTGCTAACCAATGCTATTTCTGCCACAAGCACACAGAAAATGTCAACCACTTGCTACTGCACTGCCCAGCTGCCTCAGACCTCTGGAATATGTTTTGTTGCTTTTTTGGTCTTTCCTGGGTCATGCCTTTCTCTGTTAGGGATGCTCTTGAAAGTTGGGAGTTCACGGGATGTTGAGAAAACCATCAAGAGTATGTCGATGATGATCCCTGGTGTTATCTTTTGGTGTTTATGGACAGAGAGGAACAAAAGATGTTTTGATGGAATTTCAACTTCTAGAAATCTTTTGCGAGGCAGAAGTCTAGTTAGCCTTTTTAGTTGGTCCAAACTAACCCCTGTAAATAATTTAGAACTCTTCTTGGATTTTGTTAGCTCTATAGCTTAGAAAGAGGCTACAAATCCTTTTGTTTGTGAGCTTAACTGATCTATCCTTGTAAAGCTTGCATCTTCTTGATGCCTTGAAATGAATCTACTTACTTCATCGAAAAAAAAGACATCGTGTTGGACTAAAATTGCCTAGTCTAAAGCATGTAAGGCTTTTGGGGTGAACTCTTCAGGTTTCGAACATGAAATCCTCGATATGATTCTGCGTATGGAGCAGAAAAGGCAATCTCAAAAGCAACAGCAAAAGGGGAGAAGTAGCGAGGCTAAGAAATCGGAAAAAGGGAGAAACAGAGGCAAAGAAATTGGTTTGCACTATTACATAGAAGTGAAGGATCCAGCAGTGACGGACAACTCAAAGCCTTCTCTGAATGAAAGCGAAGATCACTAGATGGAATGTAAGGGGGCTCAATGATTCGAGCAAGAGGACCACCATCAATTCTCTTATCCATAAGTGGAAGCCAGACATTCTATGTTTGCAGGAAACTAAGATCGAAGGATGTTCTGTGGAAATAGCTAGACAGTTATGGGGTTCAAGATTGGTTGAATGGGTTGAACTGAAAGCCAGTGGCAATAGGGGGGGTAGGGGGTAGGGGGGGGATTATATTATGGGATAAAAGACAATGGAGTTGTATTGATGCACATCAGGGGCAACACACTATGTTGGCTATGATGGAAGGTGTTCAAACTGATTTCAGATTCTGCTTTACTTGTGTCTATGGGCCACACACTAACTGGGAAAGATATGATTTCTGGAATGAATTTGCCAGTGTAAGGGGTCTTTGGAATGAAAGTTGGGTCATCGGAAGAGATTTTAATGTCAGTTGATTTGAAAGTGAAAGACTCAATTGACAAGAGAAGATCTAGGGCCATAGTTACCTTTATCTCAAAAAAAAAAGAGAAGATCTAGGGCCATGAAATGCTTCTCTGAATTCATTCAAGACATGGGCTTAGATGATTTATCATTGCAAGGGAGCTTCTCTACCTAGACCAGGGGAAAAACTCACTACAAGCCTCTAGAATTGATAGATTCTTGATTTCTTTTTTTTTTTTTGAGAAAAGGGTAATCTTGTATTCACACCAAAAGATTCATCACCCAAAAACTGACGAATTGGAAACTTACATCCCACATAGGGTATTCTTTACAAGTTTCCTATAAAATCAACTAATTCTATTACCTCCCCTATCAGATTTTGTTTACACCGAAAAAACAAAAGGCTTATACAATTCATTCTAATTTTCTGCAAGTTAGTTTTTTGTCCAACAAAGCACCTTGAGTTCCTTTCTTTCCAAAGAGTCCACCATATGCATGATGGGATAGTTCTCCACCAGAATTCTTTTCTTCCACGGTTGCCAATACCTTTCCAACTGCTTAGGAGTTCCATTGTTGTGTTAAGCATCACCCACTTAACTTCTAACAAACAAAAAAACATGTTCCATAGGCTCAAAGATGCCTTACAGTGAAGGAATAGATGATCATTGATTTCTTCTTCCTGCTCACACATGACACATCTTGAGTAAATCTGCCATCCCATTTTCTGTAAAGCCTCATGAGTTAGGCATGCCTTTCTACATACCAACCAAGTAAAACAAGCCACCTTTGAAGGGCATTTGGTCTTCCAAACTAGCTTCCAAGGCCATCTGTCTAGCTCTGTCTGTAGTGTGTTAAGATTCCAATAACATGATTTCACTGTGAACACCCTCTTGTTGTGTAGTTTCCATCTAGGTTTGTCATGTCTCACAGATAGAGCTGGATGTGAGTTTAGAACTCCCAATAAATTGGCAACTTCTCAAATTTCCCAGTCATTAAATGCTCTTCTAAATAAGAGATCCCAACCCTGATGGCTCCAAACTTGGGCTACCTTGGCATTCCTTTGAAGACTTAAGGTATATAGGTGTGGAAAAGAGTTTCTAAGACTATCTTCTCCAATCCACACCTCATTCCAAAAGTCAGTTTTTAAACCATTACCCACAGTGATTGAGATGCTATTGTTGAACTGGGGCCACAGTCTTCTTATGGTTTTCCAGACACTACACCCAATGGTGCCCACAACTTCCTCAGTTGTCCATTGAGTAAGTAAACCATATTTCCCTTCTATAAATCTTCTCCAGATGGCTCCCTCTTCTCCCTCTTCTGAGCAGAACCTCCAAAGCCATTTTTGCAAAAGAGAAGTGTTATGTTTACTGAGGTTCTTCAAACTAAGCCCCCCTTGCTGATTGTTGAGGGTCAAAACATCCCATTTCACCAGATTGTAACCTCTCTTCTCCTTGTTTCCTTGCCATAGAAAGGACCTCCTCACCCTATTAAATTTTTTCTCAATGCTATTTGGTATAGGGAAAAGGCTCATCATGTATGTTGGGAGGCCATCCAGTACTGACTTGATGAGAGTCAATCTGCCCCGTAATGATAGATTCTTGATTTCTTTGGAGTGGAATGATGTTCAATTGGCTCTCCCCAAGGTTATTTTGGATTATAAACCCACCTCTTTAGAGAGTGCTGACTGGTCAAACGAACCTTCTTATTTTAAATTTGAGAATATGTGGCTCCAGAAGGAAGGATTTACTAACTTGATAAAACAATGGTGGCAGAGCTACATGGTTAATAGTTCTACGGATTTCATGCACTCTCAAAAGTTGAAATCTTTGAAGAGGGATTTGATTACATGGAGCAGGGAGGTTTTCAGGAAAGTTTCTACCAGGACTAACAAAGCTTTAAAAGAGATTTAGTTCTTGAAGAGGCCACCGAAGGGAGGGTATAGACTCATGCATAAAAGAAAAATTATTGCAATTAAAAATGGAGATCCAACAGTTAGCTAAGGCTGAAGAAACATCTTGGAGACAGAAATCAAGGTGCCTATGGTTCAAAGAAGCCATACTTCCCTTCATCCATTTTTATTTGTCAATTATTGATTTGACACACCCTCTAAAAAATAACAAATAAAATGATAATTTTACTATATCACTTTTTATATATAATGAATTCCTTTCAAAAATGACTAAAGTCAATAATAAGATTAAATTTGAAGTTACATAATTATAAATTATCTCTTGATTATAAATTGGACAAGCAAAAGTGGAAGAAGGAAGTACTACTTATTAATTTATTTTTTAAAACCTCAATAGGAACTTCCATCTTTTGCTTCCTTGGTGATTCGAACTCACAATATTTAAGTTGGAGGTGGAGGGTGTTTACCATCAGAGCACATCTCCGATTTAATTGAAACTTTCATTTGGGTATTTAACATTTCAAGCAAGTTTCTATCAAAAGAATTAGAAGAAAATGTTATATGCAATTACACATGTACCATTGTATTTTCCATTCCCTCATGGGTAGATTAGGAGTTTCGAAATAAAAAAAGTTAATAAGGGGTTAATTTCCTCCCTAATGTCATATAGGTAAATTGAGAGAACTAACTAAGATTTGAACTTTTGACTAAAATTTTCACATATTTTCTAGCAAAACACAAGAAATTTAACATACATCCACTATTAAGAAGCAGCAAAATCAATGGATTATAAACAACTTTTAATTTAAGTAAAAACCGATAAATAAATGTTAATTTTTCATGAATATTTGGATGTATTTAGTAAAAATCTCGATCCATCCATTAGAAAATCATTATCTCAATTTATATAATTCACTGTGTATCTCTTATAACTAAAGGTGATCCAGACTGAATTGACGATACGTATCTGGTGGGAAATAAAATATTGACATTATTCATGGTAAAGTAGTTGGGTTGAGCAAGATAAATATGAACATACCCTGAAAATTTTTGTTAGTTGTTTCTTTAAATACTGCACACCCTTGTAAAATTCCTAGCTCCGCCACTGCAAGAACCCTATTCCCAACCCAAGTTTCCAACTTGTATACAGTGTACATCTAATACTAGTAATGCATAAACCAAACCTAATAAAGCTGCTACAATAGTTTCTTTCAACATCTAGTGAATCCATGGATAATTTGCACTATAAATGCTAAGAAAACCCAAAACCCCTAGTTTGATAAAGGTCAAATCTTTACCCTCGAAGAAGCTCGAAAATCTCTTTAAAATGAAGAAAAGAAATCAAAATCGAAAATTGTACTCCAGCATTGAACAGAAAATGTGGATCATTATAAATGGAATCCAGCAAAAATACAAAATTATATATCCAGAGGAATCTAATAAGCAGGAGCAACACACACAAGCAAAAAAAATAACAAGAGGAAGTCCAAACAAAGTCAAGTTTATTCAGAGATTTTCAATTCTCAAGAGCAACACACACAAGCAAAAAATAACAAGAGCAGTCAAAACAAAGTCAAGTTTATTCAGAGAAATTTAATTGGAAAAAACACAAATTAAAGGGCACCCACAAGCAATAATAACAAGAACAGTCAAAACAAAGTCAAGTTTTTTCAGAGATTTTCAATTCTCAGAGAAATTTAATACGAAAACCCACAAATTGAAGGACACCCACAAGCAATAATAACAAGAAGAGTCAAAAGCAAGTCAATTTATACAGAATTTTTTTTACTAGTGTACCTCGATAACATGGGGTCGAAGATCTTTAACAATGAGTCTCATCTTGTTGTAAGGGGAGTTTTGTGACTTGGAGATGTCAAGTGGCCTTTTTCTGTTCATGGGTGGCTGAGAAGGAGGAAGATTTTGGCTTTGGGGTGGCACAGTTTTAGGGGCTTCCATGGATTTGCTTTTCTTCCTCTACTCTCCACAGATGGAAGAATCCCAAATACAGTGAATCTTGGCGCTGGGTAGTGTTGGTCTTTTTGTCTTGAGCAAATGTTGGGACCGGCAATGGGTTCCTTTGTTCAGTTTTATTAAATTTTGATTCGATTTTTCAATTTTAACTTCGGTTCGATTTTATTTAGTTTGTATTTTAAAAATATTTCTTCGATGCTAATGAAAAATAAAATGAAGATAAAATCAAAGTAATTATAAGATATTAAAAAATTTAAAGTTGTGTTGAGTGATAATGTGTTTCACTATAAAATAAATATGGGCAAATTGCAGAAATCACATACTTTTATGGCAAAATTACAATTTATCCCTTAAAAGTTTATAATTACAGAAATCTCTCAAACGGATACAATAATATAAGTGTTGATATATTAATATGATGCGCGAGATACAATAATATAAGTGCTGATATCGATTTCATTTAGTTTGTATTTTTAAAATATTTCTTTGATGCTACTGAAAAATAAAATGAAGATAAATCAAAGTAATTATAAGATATTAAAAAATTTAAAGTTATGTTGAGTGATAATGTGTTTCACTATAAAATAAATATGGGCAAATTGCAGAAATCACATACTTTTATGGCAAAATTACAATTTTTCCCTTAAAAGTTTATAATTACAGAAATCTCTCAAACGGATACAATAATATAAGCGTTGATACATTAATCTGATGCACGAGATACAATAATATAAGTGCTGATATCGATTTCATTTAGTTTGTATTTTTAAAATATTTCTTCGATGCTAATGAAAAATAAAATGAAGATACAAAGTAATTATAAGATATTGAAAAATTTAAAGTGTTGTCGAGTTATAATGTGTTTCACTATAAAATAAATATGGGCAAATTGTAGAAATCACATACTTTTATGGCAAAATTACAATATATCCCTTAAAAGTTTATAATTATAGAAATTCCTCAAACGGATACAATAATATAAGCGCTGATACATTAATCTGATGCGCGAGATACAATAATTTAAGTGTTGATACATTAATCTGATGCGCTAGATACAATAATATAAGCGATGATATTAATCTGATGCGCGAGATACAATAATATAAGCGCTGATACACTAATCTGATGCTCGAAAATGAGGGATTTTGAAGATTTGTAAAACTTATAGGGGATAATTGTAATAAATAAACTAAAAGGTGGAATTTCTGTAATTTTTCCAAATATTATTGGGCTTAAAAGGTTATATTTGTCTTTATAAAGAATAGTGTGCCTCCAACTACTGCTTATTGAAAATAAGGACGAAGACGAGTTCATTTACATGACGACATCAGCAAAAATACTTTAACGTTCTTCTTGAAAATTAATATTCAAAGTTAACTATTTGAATTGTAATTATATTATTTTTATTTACTAAAAAAATATAGTAAAAGTTTAGTTCTTTGGTGTACCGAAGTTTCGAGATCCGTACATCGGAGAACCAAACTTTGAAAAGAAAAAAAAACATCGACACTGAATCCTGAATCTGAAAAATCGAAATAAAAAAATCAAATTACTTCGATATCTATGACCACCCCTAATCACTAGGCTCCCAAACTTCTCTTTATATAGAGGAGACATCTTTATTTTATGTTAATTGGTAATTAACACTTTCATTTCAGAAATGCACATTTAGACATTTTAACTTGTTCTTACTTTATTTCTGATCATTCGATATTGATGTGATATATAAATTTTGAAGGTATCTAGATAACTATCTTGTGAGTTAAAGTGTTCAACTAGCATAATAGAAACGAGTTGAAGTGTTTAAACATGCCTTCTCTAAATTGAAGTTTATCTAAATCTGCATTACAAAATTGGATTATTCAGTTGTCGATTAAGGCATAGTTAAAATTTGTCCATGTAATAAGTCTTTTTTTATTAGTTCTAAATTTTTTTTAATATCTTTCTATATTCGATAATAATTTAACCTTAAACTTAATATACTCTTAATGAAATAAATTTTAGTTGTGAAAATATGTTTAAGGATATGTTTGCCCATAGATACTGCAAGTAGTTTTGTGGAGAAATTTTGGAAAAAATTATTTGGCCATTTAATTTGTCAAGTATGACCATAAAAAAAAAAAGTTGGCCAAAAAAATTTCAAGATCCCAAAATCTAGAAAAGAAAAACTGGGTTTGGGGCAAAAATCTAGTTTGGGGATTTTTTAAAATTTTAAAGATATCTCAATTTTTTATATTTTATTTAAAAAGAAATTTTAACAAAATCATCAACTATGACTCTAACTATAATTCTATCAAGTCAAATCATCATTAAATACATTCTTATTAAAAGAGATTAATCGTATAATATGGGAAGATTCAGTTCCTAACATTGTTATTATTATTTGTTTTTATTGATGGATCTTCGTAACTAATTGTAATAGTTGGTAATTGTATTATTAGTAATTTTATTAACAAATTGTGTTATGATTTTTGAATCAAGTGTTATCTAGTTCTTTATAAAAACAATAATTTTGTGTCAAATTTATGGTATTTTAATAGTTTTTAGAACACTGTCATTTTTTTAAAATAAAAAAGTAAAATATGTTTCCTAAAAACTAAGGTCAAACACTATTGAAACTCCACAAAACTTCATTCAAAATGATTTTTCAAAAATACTTAGGAATATATCGTCAAACGACAACTTATTTTGGACCACAAACTTCAAAAAAAAAGAATCATTTCATTCTCAATCAAACACTTTGACATAAATTGAAACCAACAATTAATAAATTTTATGTGATCCTATAAATAATAGTTATCGCTTTTGATTGTTAATTTTATCAAATTTTTGACTATATAATTAGAAAAAAATAATGTTGGTATTTGAGATACTTGAATTAAGAAAATCCACAATTTAGTCTTTATTAAATTAAAATATATAAGGAGAAACTAAATAGGAAAAGAAAATAACTTAATTATAATGTCAAAAGAGAGGTATTAACACTAAAACATGGAATTAATCCATAGTCTAAACTCATCATTATGTTCTAATATTCGATAAGGTTATGCTACAAAATTTCCTAATTGCAAAGAAGTTATTTTATGTGTTCATTGCATAATAACACTTTACATCCTCTTAGATCTGTCTCAATCGAAAGATAATTATATTATACATATTAATTGGGTGGGCCAAACTTGATCTATTAAAGAATAACTCATCGATGCACGAACTAAATCAAGATGTTTTTAAAGGGCCAAGATGAGAACCGATTTCCGAAAAAGAAATTAATAGAAACCCATTAAGAAAGATGGCTATAGATCGTGTTGGGTTAGCCACTTGATTCAAAATATTCTTTTAGGGGCAAGGACACAAATGCCCATTATGTGGAAAATAATGCCAACTGAATGGCCCAAGTACTTATTTTCCAATTTGCAGTCATTGTTCACTTTCACTACTATCGAGGTAAGATTCTAATTTGCATGTCCGAGGAAAAAGATTCTAGGTAGATATATGAACCTCATAAGTCCTAACTACTAGCAACCCATTGGTGGTAGTAAATGCATGATGTACTAGAAGAACCATTGATCATCATTGTATTGCATCGTATATGGAACTCGCAAGTTTTTCATAGGTTCTAGCTTATGACATGCCATTGGTGGTAGCAGGGATATATCGGTATAAACATAGGTTACTGCATTGCATTGAATCATTTTGATTATTTTACACCAACTTTGTTTTCGATATTTACTTATGGAATGTTTCTTGTTAAATATCTAGTTCTCATTTTCCTGGTGTAAGAATTGAACTTATCATCTGATTTAGGTACATTTCATGATTTATATGATATAATTCTCTAATATAGCTCGATCAGTATATGATGTATGTTGTATGTTGAGTACATGTGTTATCGTACTCATACTACTCTACTTGTATCTTTTTTATACAATATCCTAGGCCTAGTTAATATTCTATATTAGGTGATACTTCTTTGAGATCTTTGGTGAGCTACTTGACGTTCAAAACAGTGTTAAACTCCATCTGTCTTTACTTTCATGTACTTACTATTTCAAACAAAGTTTTAATTTTTGAGACAATTTTATTCAGTTAGATGCTCTTAGTGGTAACATTAGATTCTGGGTATATTTTGTTAATTTTTACACTTCTTTCAATTTATGAAAATTGGGGTTGAGACTTTAAATTTCGCATTATTTAATTACCACCACATATCATTCTGATTTTGTTGGGGTGAGGGGTTGCCTTACCTACTGGATTTAGAATAGTTGCCATCATGACCTTTAAATTATGGATCGTGACAATTTGATATGAGAAAAATCTAGGTTCACCAGTATCACAATATAAGAACAAGTATCTAATAGAGTCTTGTGTATTGATGTGATAACATTTGTATCTATCTTCAAAAGGCCACATGCCATTTTAAAAAAAAATCTATTCTTTGATTCCTTATCGTACATAATTGGTTATTCCTTGAGTTCCTAAATTTTATTTCTCATATTTTCACAAATAGTGGTGACTCGTGCAGTTGTGGTCGGATATGAGGCACTTGTATCCGTAGCAAGGTCCCCCATACAAGATCGAGGTAGAAGTAGAGCAAGAATTGTTGCACTTTCTGAGGATTATGCTAGGACAGTGTCTCCCGAGCCATAGATAGATGTTGAGGATGAGGCATAACACGATAAGGAGATGCACATATTTATGTTGCTACATCAGTATTACAAGATATCATGATATGCAATCTAAGAATCTTTTCGATTATTCGTTCGAGAAATATTTCTCGAGGATTGGTATGTCAGATATAAGGGTTTTACCTGTTACGGTTCTTAGGCCAGGATGGGTTGCTCTGCAAAAGATATTTTTTTTATTTAATCTTTATTATGTATTTAATCTTTCATTTTCATTTTCATTTACGTGTTTAGACTTATGCGTCTAAAATTCTGCAGTTTAGTAATAGATTACATTTTGTTGTTGTTGTTTAAATTATGTTGAGTTTGTGTATGTCTACTGTCCCCCCCCCCCCCCCCCCCCCTTACAATAACAACATACCCAGTGAAATTCACAAGTAGAGTTCGG